CTTCATTGACGAAATTGCCCTCGGGACATGGCGATGATTTAGCAATTGGTTCGGAGATTCTTGAACGTTTTGATGAACGAGATTTTGCCCCTCCCCATTTAATATCTCCATCTTTATACCCTTCAAGAAGGCTTAAATGATTCATGTTTTCATTACTTTCAAATTCGCCATTTCCATGAACCGAAGTAAAATTCTTACTTGATTCATCTACCGAAGACGGGCCCGCAACATCATCTATCTTGTTCTCCAAAACCAACCGTTTTCTCGGAAGTTTGAACACCAATCGTCTTTTTCCGGTTGGAATACGCGATTCCGGACTTTCTTGGGGAATACCCGTGTCTTCGGATGCGATTTCTTTACCTTTTGAATGTCCGTTTTGGTCATTTTCGAATGACATTTCGGTTTCTTCGCTTCCGGCTTCGGTTTCTTGCTGACTGGAATAGCTTTCGTATGAATCGCCGCCTTCTTCTTCTTCCTCTTCTTCATCTTCTTCTCCCTCGGAGGCTTTTCCACTTATTCGGGAAAGAAAACTTAGGGCATTTCGGGCAGCTGCCCTTCTTGGCCTTGAAGATTTGGACTGAGACGACTTCTTTTTAGAAGCTTTTTGACCGAATCTTGACTTTCTGTTTCGATTGTTTCTGATTGCAGTTTCTTCACCATCTAAATTCCTCCTTTTCACACGTCTCCCTGAAGATGTCATGAACTCAACCTGACAAAATTGCAAAAATGTCAGGAAAAGGATGCTATGATACTATGTTATAGTAAGAAATAATGTGGAAGTGAGATTGAGACTTACTTCAGCCTTCATCTTTTTCTTTTTAGACCTACGGATACTAATGTCATCACGAGAGCTTTGATCCTCTGTATCTCCACCACTGCATTCCAAGCTGCCCGATGCATTTGAACTCAAACTTCCTTGTTCTCCTCCTGACCGATATTCCTCGGTCACATTATACTCAGAATCATTTTCATCACTTTGTACTTCTATCTCTGGCTCCCAATCCATGGCATCAAGAAATTCTGGAAGTGGGTCCATTAAGATATCCAGGTCAGCAATTGGTGGGACCTGGTACTCTTGGTCAAGACTGATGTCGGTTCCTACAGCAAACCTCACAGAGGATGGCCTCCATTCAAACCCTAGAGCTCCTAACCTTCTTTGTTGGTATGTGCTTTGGTAAGGCTCCGGGTATGGAATCATGCCTAAATAAATTATTAAATGTTAGAAATGGAAAAAAGGGTAACTCTCAAATTATTAACATTTGGTCATTTCTTGCATTAATGATCTAACTTTTAAATAAAGTAACTTGAATACATTTTGGTTGACTTTCAAACCATTTGACCAATTTGCAAATAAAATTACAACCAATTCAAATCTCTTTTGAACAAACCTGAATCACAAAGGAGATCTTGCATATTCCTTCGATAGGGAGCAAGTTGTGTTTCCTGGATAAGTTAAAACTCTCAAAATATTAGAACCAAAAAGAATAAAAGATTTTAAAAAACAAAAACAACAAATTTATAAAGCCCATGGGGCTGCTATTGGTTACATTATTATCTTGAATAACTATGTATTTTTTTAGAATTAACCATATATATACCTATTTTAATATTTGAATGCAAATAACTAACAGTTATATAATTGACATCATCGATTCTAAGAGGGGTGTTTGTGGGCATCACCAAAATTCTAAGGTCCCTTTAGTTTTCTTGCAAGTTTACATTGATTATTATTTTCAAAAAAAAAAAAAAAAAAAAAATTTACATTGAATACTTTTCATAGCATACCATATACTTGTCCTAACTTAGCATGTGGACTACAAAA